TCCTCCTCCTCCTCCTCCTCCTCCTCCCCCTCCTCCTCCTCCTCGGCGTCTCACGCACAGGACAGAGGGAGAAGGTGCTGAAAAAACACACGCGCTGGCATGGACTGCCTGTGGCTCGCGGCCACCTTCGAAGAGGCCTCTCACTAGCCCAAGGCAGGAGCAGCCAAGGCCACGCGAACGGCAGTGTTGCCTCACGGTGACGTCGGGAACAAACTGGTAGGAGATCACGTTTCACACTTTCCTGCATCTCCAAGTTGCGAACGCATCGAACGATAACGACACAACGAATTGCGGGAAAGCGCGAGCCACGCGTTCCCACAATGGCGAAACCTACATCGCCGTTACCTACATCGCCGTTAGCGTGTCTACGGAGAACAGAGCATCGAACCGAGAGATCGAATCGGATCGGAACGTGCGTCGAAGCGGACCGCGGCGGCGCGGAATCAGCATCGATTCAACTCGGCTGCCCCAGAGCGCACAGGAACGGCATGCAAGCATCGCGCCGCATCGGATCGCCGGCATATCTGAATCGAATCGAACTGGGCTGGCAACAGTCGATATCAAACCGTATCCGTCCCATCGAAATAGACCCTGAACAAAGGCCCATCCATCAGGCAATGGCGTCGGCGTGGGTTGGGCCTCCAGCCCTGTCCTGGCGCGGTCTCTGGCGGTTTCCACATCACGCGTGCCACAACCTGCTACGACAGGACCCGGCAGAGGTTGAAAACGACGCGGGACGACAGCCTTAGAGTAGGAGATCAACTACCAAATTGCTTTACCCCAAAATTGAAATGGTTGTCCAATCGACGGTAAACGACGTATAACTTCCAACGATCTACAAGAATCCTTTATTATACTTGGAGTATGACTGAATTCTGCAGTCGATCTCCTACTCGAAGCCTGACGCCCCTAGGGGCGCTCGTCAAAATGAGCCACGGCTCCCACACGGGTGTGGAATCCTCGCGTGCACACGGGGCAGCGCTCGCCTTCCCTCCCCCTCCCCTTCCGTCGCAGGCTCCCCCGCCCACGATCTTCTCCCCATCGAACCTGTGGCCCCTCGATCCCCGACGCTCCCCTCAGATCCTTCCCCATGCCTCAGTATCGCGGGACGCCAATTCTACATCCTCCGGGCTTCTGGCGCAGGCCTACCCTGGGGAATCCTGCACCCCGTCTAGGACCCGCTGCACAATCGGAGTGGCTCCTTCGTCTCTCGTCTTCCTCCTCCTCGCCGCCCCCTTTCCCCACAGCTCCTCCTCCTCCTCCTCCTCCTCCTCCTCCTCCTCCTCCTTCTCCTTTCTCTCCTCTCTCTCTCTCCTTCCACTTCCCCTCCCTTCCGCTCCGCTCCTCCTTCTATCCTCTCTCTTCCCTCCTCTCCTCTCTCCTCCTCCTATCCTCCCTCCTCCTTCCTCCTCCCCCCCGCTCCTCCTCTCCTCCTCCTCCTCATCTCTCTCCTCTCTCTCCTCTTCCTCTCTCCTCTGCTCTCTTTTTTCTCTCTCCTCCTCCTCCTCTCTCCTTCATTCTCTCTCTTTTTCCTTCTCCGCCCTCTCTCTCCTTTCCTTCTTCCTTGCCTCCTATGAGCTAGATACTCTCCTTCCTCCTCCTCCTTTGGAATCTTCGAGACGCATTCTCCAGAGAGCAGGCCAGAAGAGCCAGGAAGCAGCGGGCTGAATCTGCTTCCATTCGTAACCGAAACAGTCGCCATACCCGTAACTCCGTAACTACTCCTCCTCGTCCTCCTCCTACTCCTCCTCCTTCTCCTCCTCCTCCTCCTCCTCCTCCTCCTCCTCCCACTCCTCCTTCTCCTCCTTCTCCGCCTGCTCCTCCTCATCATTTTTTTTCGCATCCCCCTCTGCCATCCTATCCTATCCTTTCCTTTCCTTTCCTTTCCTGCCCTTTCCGACCTCGGGCGGCCTACTTAGGGGAACAAGAAGCGGCATAAACATGAACTTTCGACAATCCGCGCGGATTTGTTTGGATCTGCGCTGGCCCCCCTCCCTCGGGTGCGGCGCGCGCAAGGGGCGACGCCGGAAGCGCCACCAGGGGCGCCCCAGCGCCGATCCGAGAAATTCGCGCGCACGGCCGACAGTTTATGTGTCTGCCGTTTTTCTCAGGGGCGCGCAAACATGGATTTGCGATCCATGGATTTGGCGCGCGGTCACCACATCCATAGATCGGGGGAGGTGCCCTCCCCAAAAGGCGGCTGGTGCCGCCTCGTTCGGCGGCGGAAATCCGGGATTTCACGTGGAAACGGGACCCGACGCTAATCCACGCGCCCTTGATACATGTTTGCGATCGCCTGACAACCAACAATCGGCACATGCCTACTCCGAGTGTCGAAGTAAGCGTCGGGGGGGCGTCACCCCCGACGACAGCCCTACATCGACCCCCGTCGCGGGCAGCCACCGTGCGCCGAAGGCGCTCCGACCCCCGTCGCGGCACGACGAAGAGGCGAAGTCGACCCCCGCGGGTACCACTCCAAGCTTATGTGAGCGTCTTTTCTTAATTCGGCGTTTCGACACTGGGCGGAAGGGGGGGGGGTCTGGCTCCATACCTCTGCTTAGTGCGACTGTTTGCAAGAGTGCGGGGGAGACTCCACCCGCACGAAACGGGCGCCAAAAAAACAGCCAAGATCTACTCCCTGGGGGGGTTGGAGGGGGGGTGCGAGGGCCCGCGCCGCTCGGCAAAACAAAAAATAAAACAACGATCATCTGAAAGAATTTCGAGCACCAGGGAAGTACCGAAGATTGCGGGATTGCACGTGTCGGGCCCTGGGGGGCGATGCTCGTTCGACGGTGTTTCGATACGTTTCTCGGCGCCCGAAAATATTGTGTGGGATGCAGTCCAACATAACCCTCCCCTCCCTCTCGTCCTCATCCCCCCCTCCCACATCCTACCAGTCCTCCTCTGGAACCGAGCGGGGGGCAAAGGGGCGCCTTCACACGAAGGGACGCCGAGCGGAGGGCGATCCAACCAGTCTGGACAGCCCGCCTGAGCGACCAAGCGGTTGGTGCGCCGATCGAGCTAATCGTAGCCCCGACGCCGGCGCCATGATCCTCCGGCGCCATGCTGTGGTTTCCACCATCCTCCCAACTCCTCCGTCCCTTTCTCCAACTTCCCTCCTCGTGTTTTTCCTCCTGCTCCTCCTGCTCCTCCTCCTCCTCCTCCTCCTCCTCCTCCTCATGCCCCCCGCTCCTCCTGCTCCTCCCTCGCCTCCTCCTCGTCCTCCGCCTCCTCCCCCGCCTCCTCCGCCTCCTGCTTGACCGAACAGCCCACTTCGCCGGCACGAGGTGGCGCAGCACAAGCATGGCCAGCGCCAGGGGGCTGACGATATTGCCCACCGGTGGGCGCAGCAGCCTCAAGAGCGCCTGGCGTCTGCAACATCTCCTCTTCGTCCCCTCTCCTCCTCCGCACACACACACACAACCACACATCGGACAGGAATTTCCGAACAAACAACTTGGGTGAAACCAGCAGGCTAAACACGGGCACGCAAACTCCAGGAGAACCACAAAGATAAGAGGGAAGAGAAACAGAGAGAAAGAGAGAAGCATAGACGGTGTGCCCCTAGCTCCTGCACCAGCGCCAGGTCGTTCGTCCAGCAAGCGAACCCCTCTCCTCCTCCTGCTCCTCGCCCCCTCCTTGGCCCAAACTCCACTCGCTCCGACATCCACTCGCGCTCCCTCCAGCTCCACGCCTCGCAGAAAGATGTCGTCTGCTTAACCGAAGGTCGGTGAGTGTCGACGCTTAGGTGTGACCCGGTTGGACGCCTGGGCGTCGAATCAGATTACATAGCAACGATTCGTCGCTAAAGGTTCTCTTCGCAAAAAAAACCCTGAATGGATAACCCTTAGGAATGATTTGTTGAAAAGGACTCCTTGTCACATGTTCCTCAGCAGTGACTTCTCCGCAAGACTTCCTTAATAAGGACTCCTGAGTAATCCCTTGACAAGGATACGAGAATAATGATTATTCTGCACATATTCCTTAGGAGGAATCCTGCATAAACAGTCTGCTTGGAACGGATCATGTAAGAAAGACTCTTGTGCAATGATTCAGCATGAAGGAGTCCGTCTAAAATCATGTGTTATTCAGCAAGGGTTCCTTGCTAGGGATCTTCCGAAATAATCAATTCCTTAGGAAGAGTCTTCGTCTAAGGGTTCTTCGGGAAGCCACAGCGAAAACACGCGCTGTCTCTCGTTGTGCCTCTCTCTCTCTCTCTCTCTCTCTCTCTCTCTCTCTCTCTCTCTCTCTCTCTCTCCCGACTCTTGCCTCATCGCAAAAAATGAAACGACCCAGGCCTTTCTACGGTCTGGCGCTGCTTAGGGTGTGAATTCGATCCCAACCACGACAGGCACGAGGCACCGCGGGACAAGACCTTATAATATCCCTGCGAAACAATATGGATGCAGGGCCTACAAAAACGCTTGTTGAGATGCGTAGGCAGCTGCTGGGGCGCCCGCCCCTGGTAATAAATAGGGGGGGAGGGGGGGGGGGGGGGGGGGGGGAGGGGGGGTTAGGTGGGGAGGGGGGGGGGGTGGGGGCGGGAGCGCTATCGCGTCCTGCTCTCAGTCTCGGGAGTGGGGCACAGGCTACTTAGCTAGCAACGTGCGCCCCCTCCAAGGCAAGGGGCATGAAGGACATGCACGAGACAGAACCAACAAACTTCTAAACAGCCACACAACGGAACGGAAACCAACGAGGGGAGGAGAAGGAGGCAGCCGAGGGGCGCCTGGCTCTGCGGTGCTCGTCTCTGGCGGTTGCGCTGGGGGCGGGGCGGCACGAGACGAGAGCCGGAGGGGGGGGAGGGGGGGGGGTTCTTGGCTCAGCGCGGGGCCTGCCCCTGCGGCGGCGGCTTTTAGACGGTGCGGGGATGGGCTGCACGTGGGAGACCGTGCAGGACGGCCCTCCCCCCCCCCCACCTCCCCGAAACTCTTCAACTCCTAAGAACAAAGAACACTTGACTGGGTGGTACGGTCCAGGACCTCAGAAGTAGTTCAGACCAGTAGTGGGGCTGTCCTTAGTGGGGCTGACCAGTAGTCGTGTCCACTCACAATCCCTGCAGTCATGCCATATTGTTTCCGTGGCCCCCCCACATGACTGTGTCGATGTCTCTCTCTTGCACACGCTAGCCTCTCAACGGTCAAGGGCCGTGCTGAAACGCAATGGAGCTGCGCAACGGCCTCTCAGTGACGGCGCCTCTCTTCCTCACTCTCTGCTCTCCTCTAAGGCTGGCAAGGCTGGTCCTCCTCTGACTCTGGGGTCGGCACATTGCACCCGTCACTCGATGCTGATGCCGTCGCTTCGCTCTGTGGAATTACTTCCTCTGGCGTCTCTGGATTGGAGCTATTGCCCTCTTTGTAGTCGACCCACTTCCTAGGCTCTCTCCAACCGTGGAACGTCCAGGTCTTCGGGTCGTCCTTGTTCCACACTGGGATTCCTCCTTTTGGCGGCGTCCACCCGTAGAAGATCCACGAGCTCGGGTCGTCCGCCCTCCACGGAGGGATGGTGCCGTTGTTAGCCCTCTTCGCCTCGAACATGGCCCTCTTCACCTTCTGCGACATGACCAGGCCCTGCAGGTCCTCCTTCTCATCGAGCTGGAGCTTGCTATACTCCTTAGTCGATGCCATCTGCAGTGGTGTGTCGTATTTCCATGCCAGTGACCCGTGTGCTGTGATGAGTGCGCTCGTGGTCTCGTCGGTGCTCTTGATCTGGTCGGCCAGGGTCTGAATGTTCTCCGCCAGCATGAACGCCCCCGCCGCCGTCTTGTTGATGACCTGCTGGCTGCGCGCCAGGTTCTGGCTCAGCACCTTCTTCTGGGCAGTCAGCACCTCGATCTGCAGTTCTAGCTTCTTCTTGAAGCCCGCCATCGTGCCCACACACTTCTGGATGTTGGTCTCCTGGAGCTTGATCACATACGCCTCATCTCCAATGGCTTGGTTGTCCGTGGTGTCTCCGCGAAACACTGGTGCTCCCTCGATCGCTGGCAGCATCTGCGACATCACGGGACAAGCTGGTGCTAAGCTAGCGCGGCGAGCCAACAAAAGACCGCAACTGCAGAAAGCCTGTTGTGCTACGGATGTTCCACTCCTGTTGTGGCCAACCGTCGGTGGGACACGTAGCAGGAGTCAAGGCAGCGTGATCTCTCCGAGGGCTCAAGCGAACAAATGTGAGACTCGAGGGGGGGGGGGGGGGGGGGGGGCTCCGTGCCCTTTCTGGATCGTGCCCACCCGCATGGGCGCTACGGGCTCCCTCCCCCTCGAGTATAGTAGAGCCCTCCTATGGGCCCTCCTGGGAGCCTTAGGCCTATGACCCCGCCTGCACGTCCTGCTCTCGTGTTTGAACAAACCTGAACAGCTGGCACTAGCATGCGAAGTCCTGCATGCTGCTACCCCCTTCTGAGTGCTATCTGCTCTGAAGCAATGCCGTAGGCACGGAACAAAAGGACGAGCCGATGTCGGTGCCTGCTCGGTGTCCAGATCCCCCCCCCCCTCTGTAGCAGTGTCCGTCACAGTACTTTCACCTCCTATGTAGCCTACCACCTGTGCTCTCTGTTGCCCCCACTCCCTTGCCATTTCATCATTCTGCGATAGTACTTTGCCCCGCCCCGTCCTGTAGCAATGCCCCCCCCCCGTCACATGTACGTACCCGTCGTAACTGTATAATCCCAACTAACCGTCATACATGTGCTGTCTGCCCCCCGTCGCATTCCAGTTAGTAGTAAGTTCTGATGTTGATCTTAAACACGTTTACCACCACTGCCTCCCCGTCCTCCTGCACCCCCCGAGTGGTCTTGGCGGGTCCTGTCGAACTGGACGCGCCCTGGCTGCTCTGAAAGGACGCTTCCGCGTCTCTGGTCAGTCCCCCTGCCCCTACGACCTCGACGCCTGCAACTGCTTTTCCACCTGCCTCTCCAGGTCGTTCTCGGGGCCGTGGCTCGCGCTGTTGTCCCCCCCCCCCCAGCAGCTTCAGCGCGTGGCCCATCGCCTGCTTCAGGTAGGGAGGGCGGTAGTCGTCTAGCTCGTCCTTCTGATACCCCTCCCCGTCCTGCATGCTCTCTGGGTTCCCGTCCTCGTCCATCTCGAACTCGCCCTTCTCCTTGGGAACCCTCTCGACTCCCATGGCCGCCCTGGTGCTCGGCATCGGGTTGATCGTGTACAGCAGCTTGCCCTTCCCATTGCCGTCGTCTTCTTGGCCCTTGGGCTTGTACGCTTCCGACATCTTGAACTGCTTCAGGGTCTCTAGCACGAACTCTCGACCCTTCTCGTGGAACGCCAGGTTCAACCAGTGCTGGAGGATCTCGTAGCTCCACTGCAGAGTCCGATCCCCGCCCTCTTTGCTGATCGTCGCCGCCAGAACGCTTTTCATCTCGGAGATCGTAGCAACTGCGACGCGGGCGTGAGGAGGGCCCATCGCGTGTTTTTTCCCCCCCCCCCTTGGCGCAGTCTATTCCTGTTTGGATGGCCACTCGACACGGCGAACAGGAGATTGGGATCAGCCAGAAGCCCGAGTTGAGGTGCTGCTGCTCTCGTGTCATTATCGCCGTGCGCAGCTACAGCTTCTGCAGGTTGCTGATAGCTTGTCCGAGCTGGGCGTGGTGATCGTCTCCTTTGCCTCCTCCTTTCTGCGGCTGTGGTCTTCGCGGTGGCTCGCCTCCTCCTGCCGCCGCTGCCCCGCTCGAGTCCCCGCCCTTGGCCTGCTGGTAGCCCCCCTTGCCCTCCTTCGGGACCCTCTCGTCTGACTGCTGGAGGTCTCCTCTGTCTGCCCTGCGCTTGAGGCCTCAAGCTGGCACGTCGAGCGGGCGCAGCCCCATGAGTTCGGCCGGCATTTCCTCGATGTGCCGCACCCTTCTTGGGTTCTCTGACCGAAGTGGGGCCAGGGTGATGAGTCCTCGCGTGGGCGTGGTACTCGGGCAGGTCTTGAGCCTCAAAATCACAGATCTTGCACTTCAAACTTGCTGGTGGGACAACTGGGTGACTCCATTTGCTGCGATCACGGTGACATATTCCATGTCCGTCAGCGGCTCTCGTAGCGCGGTCAATTGCCGTGCGCCTGTCTGCAAACGTACTTTCGCACCAAGGGCATTGGTTAGTCGCCACTAAGCTGGCTACCAATGGTCGTATGTTGTGTAGTTCTCTGCGATGCCCTATGAGTGCCGCTGTCGTCGCAAACCGTTTCCCACATACCCTGGGATGTCCCTGATCGTCCGTAACCACACAATCGCGCCAAAAGGGCTTAGTCACCTCCTCGTCTCCTTTCAACTCCTCGTCCTCCTTCCCCTGGTCCCAAGTCAGTGCTGTACTGTGGAAAATCGTCACATCCATGTTTGTCCACTGTTGCCACGCTTGGGTCCCTGGGCAGAAGATCTCGAAATC